ACCGGCCTCCGGCGACGGGGGCGACACGCCTCCACACTCCGGCTGCACCCTCGGGCGCCGGCGGCACGGGCATGTTTTGGGCCAACAGCGGGGGGCAAGCGTGTCGGCCCAGCGACAACGCCAGCGCGGCCGCACGCGCTCCGCAGGTGTGTTTGAGGAGCTTGATACGCATTAAAATGATTATGCAGACGTTACGTCGTGCCGCAGAGCAGCTTCAGGCCCTGGGCCGCCGGCGCCGCTCGCGGCCGACCGCGGCCGCCCCTGTTTTCTCGTCACGAGCGGGGGCTGGCTGGATAGGGAGGAGTATGACGGCAGGCCCAATTGTGCGCTCGGCTGATGCCGCTGCGGGGTGCGTGCATCACGGGCAGAAGCATCATGCCGAGTCCATTTTCAGCGCATTTCGAGGGATGGCGCGCTGGTTCCGGGCGTGGACGTGCATCCTCACCACATCGCTCTACAAGGCGCACGTTAGCTCCACGTGACACAATATAATTTTTTGATTCAATTACCACCATTTTTAAGGTCGGTCAACAGCGGAGAATGTCTCACCACAGTCTGCTTTGTGGGCACCCCTTGTGCCCGCCCATGAATACACGAGCTGGCGCAAGCCACACCAGTAGCAGTGGAGTTGATACATGCGGTATTATTTTGTTTCGGAACTCTTGCTCCAGTATTCTCCCTTATAGGCCCTTGCTGGGCTGCAGCTGTTTTCGCAGGTCCCCTCAGACTGTGCTAGGGGAGCTCCCGGGCCGTTAGCGGCCAGTAAAATGGCTGCTGTTGGGGAGACAAAGCTAGTGGACCTGAACGGGATTCAGGTCTGCGTCAGGGTGAGTACTGCACTCGCTCTCCTGTCTTTGCTACGGGGTGTGCAAGTAGAACGCAATCTGCTCGAGTCAGCTGAAGAGTGTAAGATCAAGATTATTCACGCGTGCTGAGGTCGGACCTGCTTGTAAGTCGGGTGCGCTGCATGTGCGCCGGGTCCAAGCACGAGCGCGCGTGCACAATGCCGTGCACGCTACGCAGGTGCGCCCGCTCAATGACAGGGAACGCAATGAGGGCCTGAGGTCATGCGTGACCTTTGACGAGCCGTCACGGCAGGTGGTGCTGCAGGTGAACCGTGCCGAGCCCGGCGCGGCGCATGCCATGTCTGAAACGCACACAACCTGCCCCAGCGCATGCGCAGACCCCGTGCAGCACAACGCCTGTTTGATAAGCCACCTCGTGCATGCAGTCGCCTCCTGATCACCGCCCATTTTTTGAGACCAACACACATACAAACACACACAAACACCCACGCATGCATGCGCGCGCACACACACGCACACACTCTCTCACATGCGCATGCACACACACATACACATACATACATGCATGCGCGCGCACACACAAACACTGACGCGGCCGCGCTCAGGCAGTGGACAAGGAGACGCTCATGCAGCTGCGCGGCTGCACCGCCAAGGGATTTGCGTTTGACCGGCGCTTCGGCGTTGACCAGACCAGCGATGACATATACGACAACTGCGTGGCGGGGCTGGTGGAAAACCTATTCAAGGTGCGCTGGTTTGGTCGATGCCAGCTCGCTTGGGGCCACGAGCGGCTCGGCAGCGTCACGGGGTGATGCCTTGCAGGGGACCACCCGCTGGTGGTGCCCTGGGGTAAGGCATGGCGGCAGCTTCGATTATGCTGGTGTCTACACAGCGGCGCTGCACCCCTTTGGGCAATTCATGCAACGACCAATCCTCCCCGGGCCGAGAGAGCTGCCGTTGAGAAGCGGTGAGGGCGAGCGGAACGCTTGCGAGGGGCTAGCGGCCGGCGCCTGAATCGTCGTCTGACTGAGCGCACTGCTTTGCTGCATGTCCTGCTCTGGGCTGCTGCGGGCCGTCCTGCAGGGGTACAACGCCACGGTGCTAGCCTACGGCCAGACAGGTTCGGGCAAGACCCACACAATGACGGGAGGTGTTGGCATCCACGGGCGGCACGAGCAGGGTGAGCAGGGTGGCAAACAGCGTCGAGGCGTCCTGGCCGCCCCGGGGCGCCGTGGCGGCAAAAGGGGCCGCATGCCACTGGCTCGCTGCTGCGCGGGCACCTGCTGCTTGGCCCCAACTTTTTCGCATGTCTTGTGACACCCAAGGCAGCAGCGGCACGTGCGCATGCGCGCCCGCCACCGCCCGCACGGCGCCGCAAACCGGCTCGTCCCGCCCGCGCGCCGGCGCCCCTTGGCCCCAGGTGTCACGCGCCGTGCGGCGGTACACATCTTTGCCATTGTGGACGCCCTCAAGGCAACCCTGAAGCCGGGCGAGGCGGTCAGCGTGGGGGCGTACGCGCTGGAGCTGTACAATGAGGACCTGCGGGACCTCTGCAATAAGGTGGGG